GTGTGTGTGTATGTGTGTGTGTGTATGTGTGTGTGTGTGTGTGTGTGTGTGCGTGTGCGTATGAGCGAGGGCAACACTCTGATTGCTTCACACAACCCCGTAAAATGGTCTAGTGGCTGGGACTCTGAAATGGGATACGAATGAAACGTCTCTAGTTCGAAACCCCATGTGTGCACATGTTGGTGCACTTGTCGCTGCTCGTAGAGAAGCGTGTTGAGAGACAACAAGTAAGCGTAGTGCCAATGCTCTGGAGGCACACCAAAGTTAGGGCGGGTAGAATGTCGTGTTGCCGGCTTGTCAACCGGGACGTCCACCATGTCGCTCGATGAGCTGTCTCTGGACGACTACCCTTGATCGTCACCGTCTTTGCCGACGACCCCCACAAGGTCGTTCGGCGAATCGTCGCTGAACTACTCGCCTGCCAACGATTCCCTTGTCGATCGTTCTTCCGTCGACTGCCCCCCCAGCTATCGCCCTGCTCGACGCCGACCATTTCGCGTCGGCCGCCGTCGATGTCGATGTGTGGCGCCAAAGGCGGCACGTAAAGTATCCCCTTGTCGCCAGTGGCGGTGGGCGACAGGCGACGGAAGGGAATCGACTGTAGTAGGCGTCGAAGCTGCAGATGGCTAGACAACGGGTACATCTCGCGAGAAGACCGGCGCCGGACGGAGTGGCGTGCTGGGTGCTCGTCTACGTCGATGATCGTACTGCCGCCAGCAGAAGTGGAGAGATGCTGAAGGGATTGCACGAGCTACAAGGGAGTGCCTTTGAGCTGCACGAGATCAGCCCGGCGGAGAAGTTCATGGGGTTGTAGAACATGTGCGACTGGCTTGCACGGAAGCTGTGGCTTCACCAGCTGTGGTATTTTCGTTTCCAGAAACTTCTGACAAGAGCTTCCGACGCCGCCGTGCAAAGACGCATTCAGGCTTCCACGACGGGAACCCTGAAATGAAAATGCTAGGTTACCGCACGAGCGTAGCAGAACATCTTGTGAAAATGCTCACGGTATCCTACCTTTCGTCGGGACTGTTTCATGAAAGCCATAACTTCCTGCTCATAAAAAATGGCTGGAAATGTCAGTTCTTGTGAATCTGTAAAAATATAGCTTCCGAAAGGACAAGACAGACCTCAACTGACGGCGGTTTTCTTGAGGGTTTCAACAGATACATGACGATCGAACACACTGCCAACGTCAGGAGCAGAAGCTAGCTGTGTCTCACTGCTTGTGAAGAAATGTGTATCTCCGTAACTTCACTCAAACACGAGAGAACACTCTCGAAAATCCAGCAATCCTGAAGTGGCCCAGTTGGTTAGCTGTGTCACTTTCGATGGGTGAGGTCCCAGGAGCAATACCCCGTGCGGACGAGTTCTGTCAGCCTCCCAGAAGGGGGTTTGCACGTGCTCACCTTGGGAGTGGATACACCTCAATCTCGTTGACCCAGCTGCGCAACTGCTGCAACGGTCGGCGTCCGAGGACACCAGTCTCTTTGTCGTCGAGCTGATAATTGACGATGAAGGCTTCCTGGCACACAAGGAATATCAATGCTATCAGAAGGTCGGCTCGCTGCAGTTCACCGCCACCAAAGTTCGTCCAATCATCACCTTCACGTGCAGCAAGTTGGGCTCCGACTTGTTATTGTGGAGCGACCAACATTGGCGTGAGGTCGATTGCTCCCGCGCCTACTTGACTGCCACGTGCGATGTCGCCCTAGAGTTTGGCGGCAGGCCAAAGACTTTGCATCTGGCCGTTTACGAGGACGTCACTGACGCCAGTGACAAGCAGGTGTGAAGCAACACAAACGGTGCTTCGACGGGGTAGTTGTCTACTGGACAAGCCAGCGACGGAGGTTGGAGTACGTCGCTACGACCGAAGCCAGCGAGGAGGCACGCCGACTTCGCTTCCTCCTCGCAGAGTTCCAACTCCTCGACGCTGGGACGCCGAGCGTCTACCATGTGGACAATCAATCGGCCATTGCAGTCGCTAATGGCTTGAGGCTGAAGAACAACCTCAAGCACATAGAACGACGCTACGTCTGGCAGATGGTGAAGCGCAAGAAGGTTGCGCTACACGACATCCCAACCACCAATCACCCGACAGATTTCCTCACCAAGGCATTGCACTTTCTGACTTTCAATCAGTGTTCCGTCGCAGTCGCCCATATTTATATTGCCGACGTCGGCAACAATCATGTGCAGAAGTAGGCGCCATGTTTTCCAACATGGCCGGTGCGGTCAACGACGTGCTGGGTGTGCAGGCTGGCGGAGTATCCCCTTTGTGCTCGATTACGAAGGTTCTGGGTGGTCCTTGTTTGTGCATGGGTGCCCAAGCTTGAGCTGGGAAGGGGAGCGTCGAAGAGAAAGGTCATGCCCGTCGCACGGATACCGCCGATCTATTCATCGAATGGGCTTTTGCTGGTCGTCGATCGTGATTGTCGACGAGGTCCTGTTCGACGAGATTCGGCCGACGTTGTTGGCGGACCTCGCTGGTCGACGATAGTAGACGTCGACAACCATATGTGATGCACATATATGCACATGTTGACTAAACTACAGTGCTGGCAAACCGCCCTCGTTGCAACGCTGGCAAGTCGCCTTATTGCAGCATTCGCAATCCGCTCTTCTGCAGCGCCGACATGTCACCTTGTTGCATGCTTGATGGGTTGCAATGTTCTCCTAGGTATATCGACTTTGCCATGCACCTGTAATCTTGACCAATCTCTTTTCCTTGGTGGAACCGTTGCCAACTTCATCTACGAACACATCAGGTAGTGAGAACGAGAACAACACTCTGATTGCCTCGCACAACCCCACGACCTCCCATGTAGTCCAGCTACCGTTGTAGAGTAAAATCCCGCAGGAACACGTACTGCGTTGCTACGAAATGAGTTGGGAAACCAACTACCCGGACGAGTATGCATGTAGAGTACTAATTAAAAACCTAGTCGATGGCCTTGTACTAAAGAACATGGGAAGAGTGGCAAAAGTTATAGGGGAAACAGGGAGTGGTTTTGGCCAATGCATAGGGTGTGAGCTCTTTGGAGCGTACCCTCTAAAGTGCATCTAAAGGAAAATAGCTCCTTAAAACTAAGATGAAGGAATTAGTCAGAAGTTACACAAGCATGATTGAATTTCTTGCTGTGCTCGTTTTGGCGGGAAAACCCGCCCAAACGGTTCCTCGTTCGTTCCCATGTTCCCGAAAACCACAGCCGAGACGCACTTTTCATGAGGTGAGCTCCAAGAGGAAGCACGTACACCGTCGTGTCGTGAACCGAATTCTTCCTATTTTGGATCTTTCTCCCTTAGAAAATTCCTCAACCGCTCACACAATCCAAGCCGTCGATCACAGATTTAGGCTGCGCCGTCACCCACCGACGCCAAAATCTTTGGGAGAGTACATGCCAGCTCCTTATTTTCAGAAATCTCTCAAATTTAGCCCTGAGTTTACTCAAACAGTATGAGTTTGTGGAATTTTGCTCGCGCGAGGCCCAGATTATGTTCAAAACTGGTACTGCGGGGCTTAACTCTCGACACGTGTCCATTTCGCACAAAGAAGTTTTGGACGGGGCAAAAAAACATAATACTCCCGGGAAACCAGGACACTTTTTCCAGAGGGATCAACCCTAAACACGGGAACCCGCCCGGTGTTTAGGACGTGTTTCGGTTCGCCTCGGGTTTCGATCAGACACGATCGATAACTTCCAGGAAGGTAGAAGGGCGATTTTATGCAATCAGGGGCAATCACTTGATCGCGATCAGCTGATCGCCCCAACTCGATCAACCGCAAAAATAGCCCAATCAAACACAATCACAGACAATCACCGACGATCACTTGATTGCATTTGATTGGGGTACTACGAGATGCTGGCGAACTGTTACATCGGTCGGCAGGGATTCGTGAAACCATCGCGAATACCCCGCTGTGGCAAGAACATTCTGGAGGCGCCATCATTTCTACATTACAGGGCTACACTCGAATTCGCTAAATCCATCACGAGGGGTTTGCAGTCGCCAAAGTGGGCCCGAAGATGGCAGGAAATGTATGTTTGCCTGCTGTGAACCCTCGTGGAGAATTCGAGAAAAATCTTATCTGATCGGGCGGCGCGAGCTATCCAAACAAAGGCACCCCGATCAGATCAGCCCCGACCAGATCACAGCCGAACAGAGGCGAACTGAGACACGTCCTTAGGGTTGATCCCTCCCGTAATGTGTCCCATTTCCCTTGGGGTATTATTCTTTGTTTGCCCGGTAAAAAAAATCGAAATGGACACGTGTCGAAATTTTGGCCCCACAGGACCAGTTTTGAACATAATCTGGGCCTCGCGTGAGCGAAATTCCACAAAGTTGGACTTTCTGGGTGAACTGGGAACTAAATTTGAGATATTTTTTAAACTAAGGAGCTGGGATGTACTTTCCCCCATCAACCCTTTCCACGAGCCACCACCACTTTCCTCCACATCTTCCCCTCGTGCTCTTCTGTGCTCGGCTCGTCAATTCTCCCCTCTTCCTCGCGTTCTCTCTCCCGCCGTCCCTCTTGCTCGCGTCGCGATACGTTTCAAGAAACGAGACCTGACGGTCTCACCCTCAGTTTCCCGTAGTTAGTTATTTTTTTTCGAAGCGAGCTTCCTTTACGCCTAGGAACCACTAAGTCACGCTGCTTCAGAAATCGGGATTGTATAAACCCTAACTGCCTGAAGCTGTCGGGTATGCGTGGCAGTCCTTCGCCTCTGACATTTTCGTTCAAATGAACGCTCCTCGATTATTCAGCTTTATTTTTTCTTTCGAAGAACTGCCGTCTTTTTGCTTTGTGATTTGCAGCCAGGCCCCTAGCGACCCTCAGTAGGACGTTGACGACGTAGGCCTTAGCGACGTATGGGAAGTTCAGCTGCAGTAGGACTCTGGCGACCCTTAGCGTCCTTAATGTGAACGAAGATGCTCCTGATAATCATTTACATGCGCGCACAATAGATCCCTGTTTGCAATCTGAGGCACGAAAGAGCAGCATGAGTCGAATACGCAAGCGAAACCCCGTCTTCGGCACCGCGGGATTGGCCGTTGCGTTCCTACTCCTACCGCTCCTGCCGTCCAAAGGTAATATTCTTACGTAGCCAGTTGCCTTTTTGGGCGGCTAAAAAGGCAGTTTCCCGTCAAATTTTACAATGCCAGCATGCCGAGTCTCAGCTCTCACAAGTATCGTCATTTTGTCGCTCTCAGCATGCCAGCATGCCGAGTCTCAGCTTTTACAAGTAACGTCATATTGTCGCTCTCAGCATGCCAGCATGCCGAGTCTCAGCTTTTACTCATGCACGCTACTAGTCCTTCGCCGTGGCGAACTATTGCAGTTTAGGCAAATTCTGTGTCCCACTAATATTTAGGCTCACAGTATCAGCTCCGTGGGTACATATTTGTTAATGTCTATCCAGTTTCCTTATCCTCCTACTTTTCTTCGTCTTCGTTCGCAGCATTCAATAGTCGTGCTGATGAGGAGGGTGTTCGCGCTCATTTTCATTGGCATCAACGCCATCGCGAAGCGGCCTGGTTACCATCTAGTGGCGACAGCGGCTCTTTCGCAGATACACGGAGCTCGACCTTCAGCTCGCGCGCTCCGGCCAGTAGTGCTGACTCACTAACTGATTCCGACAGCCTGACTGATTCGTATAACCGGGTTCACTCGGACCGATTGACTGACCCTAGAATTGGGACTGATTCCGCCAGTCCAACAGATACACTAGCGGATTATGATGACGGTGACGATGACGATTTTGACGACGATGACGCCTTACTCGCCGCTAATCCAGCCTCTGCCTTTGACGACGATTTCGGTTCCACCTCGTTTCAGTCACGTCTCGCATACTCACAATCAGCAGAGTTCAAGTCCAGACCAGATACGCTCTTTTCAAGTTCGCGGGACGATCACTCAACCTCCTCCTCGTCCTCACCTCGCTCCTCCTTCTCGTCCTCCCCTCACTCGTCTTCCTCCCTCCGTTCCTCTTCCTCCCTCTCAAATCCCTCGCAACCCCCCTCGCGTTTCGCCTCCCCTCTCCCAAACCCGTCACGACCGTCGCCCGCATCTTTCCGTCACAAATCCCCCCCAACACCCTGGAAGCTTCCTAAAAGTAGAAACCCAAGCAGTATCGGCACTAGAATAGGAACCCAGCGAGCGTGGGCTCCTTCTGTTACACCCGAGTACATACACCCTAGCGAGGTATCTCTTAACGCGGCTTTAGCATTCGAGAGGCAGCGGGTGCTTCGCCAGGAGCAGCGTAGGCGGCAGCAGCAGGTGACGGGGCCGTGCAGCCCGCTAGAAACGGCGAAGGTGATACGGATTAAGTCGTACGCGGACGTCGCGAAGCGATTAAACTTTGGGCCAAAGCAGACGGTGATGCTGGTGCTGGCGCCTCCCGGGTTTATCACGAAGACGGGTCTGCTGTTCGACGGGAACTACTCCTGCACGATCCTGCGAAGCAAGAAGCCCGCGCAGAGAAGGTAGGGTGGACTCTCATCATGACTCTCATTATGACTCTCCTCCTGATTCATCCCATACACTAGTGCCTCCCTACCTTGCTACCCTGTTACCCCGTTACCCGCCCGTTACCCATCCCGCACTACCGCCCCATCATCCCATCCCGTCCATCCCGTCTCGGCGTGGCGGATGCATCAAACTCACCCACGCCATGCAAGCCGTGCTGCGCGGCTGCAACACACCCTATTTCGTTACCCTGTTACCCTGATGCCGCTTTTCAGTGCTGATGCCGTTCATATCACACATCGTATCACACCTCCCAACCCCATCACCCGGTTACCCTGTTACAGTTACATCAAGCTCACCAACGCCCTGCAGCCCGTTTTACGCATCTGGAACACGCACAACGTGATCGTCATGGACGTCAACTTCTACCTGCCTGTCAAGGCCAGCTCGCGCCTCTGCTCCTTCACTGAGGTCGGCAAGGGCATGCTGTGCCCCGCCATCCACATCTGGCGCAGCTACGGCGTGCAGGTGGCCAAGGTGAGTCTTCACATGAGGCGTCTTGGGAGCTTGCATGTTGAGTCCAGCTCGCGCCTCTGCTCCTTCACGAGAGTGGGCAAGGGCATGCTGTGCTCGGCCATCCACATCTGGAGGAGCTACGGCGTGCAGGTGGCCAAGGTTAGCCCCGGCTCTCTTTTGAGAGGCTAATCCCCGAAGCCCAGGTCTGCGTGCGCAATGAAGTGGGCGAGGGTATGCTGTGCCCGGCCATACACATCTGGCGCAGTGCAGGTGGCCAAGGTATGTCCTTACGAGGCGTCTTGAGATGAGATCCTGCCAGTCAAGTCCAGGTCGCTCTTTTGCTTCTTCACTGAAGTGGGCAAGGGCATGATGTACCCCGCCATTCATATCTGGCGGAGCTACGGCGCATAAGTGGCTAAGGTATCATATGAGCCAGCACGTATCACTCTGTCAACTTGTCCCAACACAAACCCTCTCGCCTCGTTCTCACCCATTCACCCGTCCCCTCACCACCCCCACCCCCCCCTTCTTTCCTCCCGACAGGGCGAGGTGTTTGGGCGCATAGACGTGTTTCGCAGCATGCAAGCGCGGGTGGATGGCATGAGTGTCACCGGCACCTACCGCTTCTTGAGGCGCCTCAAACCCCCCAACCCCCACCCCTCTCACCACCCTTCCCTCCCAGGGCGAGGTGTTTGGGCGCATAGACGTGTTTCGCAGCATGCAAGCGCGGGTGGATGGCATGAGTGTCACCGGCACCTACCGCTTTGTCAACTCTCCAGGGGTCATTCGCATTGGGGAGAGCGGGTATGGGCCAGAGCTGGTGCGAGCTAATATTGTCATCTCCAACAACGAGGCATACGGTGAGTGGCGTGGTTGCGCCTCTGTCTCGTGCAACCGGTGGCAAGCACTCTTGACCAGTGGGGACAGTGGGTCAGCATTGGGAAGAGCAGCTATGGGCCCGAGAGCTGGTGAGTCGCGTGGTGAGGTAAGGTGACGTGTGGTGAGGTGAGGTGAGGTGTGGTGTGCCTCCCTCAGTTTAGCAAGTATGCTGTGCTTTGTCGGGGAGAACACAGTCAAGCCCAACAACGAGGCATACGGTCAGTGGAATGAGGGTGCCTCTTTCCTCTTTCCTCATTCCCTTTGCTAAAACTGCATCTTTTCCACGCGTGAACACACCCATCGTGATGCACGGGGGTGCAGGGCTGACATGCACTTCGCTTTTTATGTTGTTGCCTCAAAATCATGAGGACATGAGGACTTTGCCTCAAAATCATGAGGACATGAGGACTTTGCCTCAAAATCATGAGGACATGAGGACTTTGCCTCAAAATCATGAGGACATGAGGACTTTGCCTCAAAATCATGAGGACATGAGGACTTTGCCTCAAAATCATGAGGACATGAGGACTTTGCCTCAAAATCATGAGGACATGAGGACTTTGCCTCAAAATCATGAGGACATGAGGACTTTGCCTCAAAATCATGAGGACATGAGGACTTTGCCTCAAAATCATGAGGGGAGAACATGCGCGTGTCTTCTCCCTCACCTCCAACGTTCTTCCTTCTCTCCGCCCTCCACCTCTCCGCTTTCCGTCCATGCTTTCCCCCCTTCGTGACAGAATGGACCGTCACTTGTGCCTCGTGTGCGGACACCCCTGTTGTGATGCACTTTTTGAGGCGCCTCAAAAAAAGACTGTCACTTGTGCCTCGTGTGCGGACACCCCTGTTGTGATGCACTTTTTGAGGCGCCTCAAATAAAGACTGTCACTTGTGCCTCGTGTGCGGACACCCCTATTGTGATGCACTGGGAAGCGGTGGGCGTGACAGTGGTCAGCAATTTTGTGCACAACTTTGGGTTTCGCTTTGGCTGTGCATCTCAGACCCCTCCATCCATGTCTGTGGACTCCCATGGCCCTTGGACGTGTCTGTGGACTCCCATGGCCCTTGGACGTGTCTGTGGACTCCCATGGCCCTTCTTTCCCTCAGGCGTGGACACACCAATTGTGATGCACTGGGGAGCGGTGGGAGTGACAGTGATCAACAACTTTGTCCACGACTTTGGGTTTGCGGGCATCAGGTGCGGCGCGGACGTGCACTTTGCGGGCGACTGCATGCTGAGCAACATCTCCAACAACATTGTTTACAACTGGCGGAGGAATAGCTCGGGGGATGTGGATTCTGCTGGAATTTATTACTGCACGCACTGGTTCAGCCCTGGTGAGCTGGGGTCGGGAGGGATGTGCGAGGCAATGAGAGGAGTTGAGTGAGGTGAGGGAGGGGTGGCTGCATGCTGAGCAACATCTCCAACAACATCGCTTACAACTGGCGGCGGAATTCATCAGGGGATGGGGAATCGGCTGGGATCTACTACTGCATGCACTGGTTCAGCCCTGGTGGGTATTTGGGGGGATTGGAATGGGGGGATTGGAATGGGGGGATTGGAATGGGGGGATTGGAAGTGCTGCTCCCGCCCTGGTGTTGCGGTCCTGCTGCTCCCGCCCAACTCCCTCAACCCAACCCCTTCAACATCCCATAAAATTCCTTCCAGGCAACGTTGCAGAGTGAAATTATGTGAATTTTACTATTGAGAATTCTCAAAAGTAAAACTCCCTCAACCCAACCCCTTCTATATCCCATGAAACTCCTCCCAGGCAACGTTGCAGAGTGCAATTATGTGGCAGGCGGCGACCACTGCTATTACCTCGACTATGTCACATCGGGTGTTGTGATCCGCGGGGGTGCGTGCATCAACACATACGATGGCATCAAAGTCAACAATGGGAAGCTGTGAGTAGCAGTTGGTAGGAGTAAGAGCTGCAGGTACAGTGATGCCGTGATGCTGTTGTGTGATCCGCGGGGGTGCGTGCATCAACACATACGACGGGATCAAAGTCAACAGCGGGAAGCTGTGAGTGCTCATAGGTGGAAGGTTGATTCAGTCTTGATGTTTCGCACACTAGCATCATGGCATGGCGTGCGGCAAGCTACAAGTGCGGATAGCTGCAAGGGTGGTTAGCTGCAAGGGTGGATGGGTGTGATTTCACCCTGCACTCTGAGTCTCCACATCAGCGCCATGTCATTGGGTCCCCTCCATCAACAAGTTTGATAGAGTCTCATTCTTCCATTCCCAATCCCTTGGTTTGTGAGCACCGTGATGAAGCACGTTATCTTGAAAAACGTTGAGGGCATGCCAGGGTGGTGCATGCCAGGGTGGTGCATGCTAACAATCCCTCTTTTCTACCTTCTCCCCCCCCCTCGACTCTGCTATCCAGCAACGTGATAAAGCACCTGACTCTCAAGAATGTGGAGGGCATGCCCGGGTGGTGCACACAGGTTAACAATCAATCCCTCTTTTCTACCTTCCCCTCCTTCCCCCTTCCCTCCCCCCCCCTATCCTTGACTCTGCTATCCAGCAACGTGATAAAGCACGTGATTCTGAAGAACGTGGAGGGCATGCCGGGGTGGTGCACGTGCTTCACTCCCACCGTCAACAACTGCCGCAAGGACCCCGGCACCTACTGGGAGGCCATGCGCCTCAAGTACTACGATACTGAGCTGTTCCGCAGGGTGAGTGGCTTCTTTGAGCTTGCGTGCCTGCGCGAAACAAACAGCACTCCAATCAAGCAAGGACCCCAGCACCTACTGGGAGGCCATGCGCCTCAAGTACTACGACACCGAGCTGTTCCGCAGGGTGAGTGCTCTTAAAGGGGTGCAGTAAACAAGCAAGCAAGCAAGCAAGCAAGCAAGCAAGCAAGCAAGCAAGCAAGCAAGCAAGCAAGCAAGCAAGCAGGCCAGCAGGGACCCCCGGCACATACTGGCAGGCCATGCTCCTCTAATACTGCGACCCAGAGCTGTTCCGCAGGGTGAGTGGCTGAAACAGCAAGCAAGCAAACAAGCAACCTAGCAAGCAAGCAAACAACCTAGCAAGCAAGCAAACAACCTAGCAAGCAAGCAAGCAAACAAACAACCTAGCAAGCAAGCAAGCAAGCAAGCAAGTATGCATGCATGCAAACAGGAACCCCGGCACCTTTACTGGAAGAGCATTTTCATCCCCTCTTCTTCCCATACTTCTCCCCACCTTCCCCTCACCAGCTCTGGCCCTGGTGGCCCAGTGCGTGCCAAGACAAATCCATTAACAGTTTCAGCTGCAACCCTAATCCTATCTGTTGGTCACCCTCTTCCTTCCTCCATCCCCCCCAATACCCCTCCTCCCTTCCCCTCACCAGCTCTGGCCCTGGTGGCCCAGTGTGTGTAAAGACAAATCCATCAACGGAGTCAACTGCAATCCTCCTGGCTCCATGGCTGCTTATTTGACTGGCAACTGTAGCGGGCTCGGCACCGAAAATTACCTCGATCTTGTCGTCGTCAACATGACTAAAAGGAGCCTCGATTACAAATACTGCGAGAAGATTCCGGTTATGCCGAAAATCAACACGCATAAGATGATCAACATCACGACGAGCTCGTTAAAGGTGCTGCGGAGGATGGGATTTCGAAACTACAAGCGGCACGATCTGGCGATCGAGTCGTGGTCCCCAATCTATAAATGGCGGCCGCAATTCAAAAGTTGCCGGAAGGGTTTAGCGGGTATGAAGGTGATAACAAGGGAAGAGTACAGGAAGGCTTTTAATATTCCGAAGCCGGACTACTTCGATTTTGTTTTGGCGATGAACTTGACGCACATTCATGACAGATCCTTATTTTGAGATGCTGTTCTGCCTGGTGACTGACACCGCAATTTATGAATTAACTTTTATTTGTACTAAGAGCATGTTCCTACACCTCGTATAAAAAACACTTCGTATCAGCTTCGCGTGGTGGAATACGTTTCAGTGTATTCGACTGCGGTTGGATGCTAGTGCGGTTCGACACGAACCTGATATGAGGCCGTAGAAACGCGCTACGGTATTATGTATTAACTACCTCTATTACCGTGCATTTCCTTGTTCAAACCCCCAATAATTACCGTACAGCTTCAGGTTCCGGTCCGCAGCAGTGGATTGAATCATTGAAAGTTCTTCACTGATCAGCCCCTCTCTTCACCCTAGTGATTGTAGTCACGGCACGCGGCAACGGCAGAGGCCCTGCGTGATTCTAGGTTCCCTCGCGACAAAATATTTCTTCCAGGTTGCCTCTCAGGAACGCGGCAGCAGCGCGGTGTGAAGGTGTGGGAGACGGTGCACTGGTGTTGAGAAATGCTGGTCACAGACGGAATCCTGAGAGCTGAGCTCTCGTCTTGATGGGTTTCGAGTGCTGAGCTTCCGTCTTGACGTGATTCCGTCTTAACGGATTCCGTCCTTGGGGGATTCTGAGAGCCAATTTTTTTGGCTATGGAAGGGTGAAGGAAGCGTGCTCGATACTCGACATAGCCTGCGGCTTCAGTCTGTGGAAGCATATCCCAAGTAGCTCGCTTCATAGAAGCTTATACCGAGGAATCTGGTTCCCATGGGGAGGAAGGGAAGCGGCTCGGTGAAGATCGCAAAAGGCGGTAAGGCGGCCAAGAGCCGCGGAGGAAGCAGCGGAAGAGACGGCGGAGAACGCGGAGACGGAGCGAGGATCACAGATGCGGGGGAGGTAAGGGAAATGAGGAGAGAGGGGAGAGGGGAGAGGAGAGAGGGGAGGGAGGAAAGGAGAGAGGGGAGGGGGGAGAGGAGAGAGGGGAGGGGGGAGAGGAGAGAGGGGAGGGGGGAGAGGGGAGAGGGGAGAGGGGAGAGGGGAGAGGGGGAGGGGGGAGAGGGGAGAGGGGTGCAGAAAGGAGTTCGAGGAGGAAAGGGAAGGGTAAAGTTCTTTATCATCTGTTTACCTAAATCATAAGTTGGTTATCATCTGTTTACCTAAATCATTAGTTGGTTATCATCTGTTTACCTAAATCATAAGTTCGTTATCCTCTGGTTACCAAAATCATAAGTTCGTTATCATCTGTTTACCTCCAAAGAGCCTCTGTGTCAATTCTTCTGGTCCGAGTCAGAAAAAATAGAAATTTCGTGACAGCGTCCATACGTAGAAACCTGTTGTTCTTTTACCATCACGTTGACTCTGCATATCGAGTCTTTCTTCCTCTTCTTTCACCCCGCCATTCAGGCCGCTAGCACAGACGCAAGCAGCAAAGACGGCAAGGGGAGAAAAGGCAGAGGGAACGTGAAGGGGAGGAAGGGGAAGGAGGGGAGAGGCACGTACAAGGGGGGAGGGGGAGGCGCGTGGGAGCAGCTGAGGGCGCTGGGGCTGTGCATTCGGGAAGTCAGTGCAGACGGAAACTGCTTCTTCAGGTGATTCCTTTCCTTCTGTCTTTTGAGTTGATTCGTAATTCATCTCGTGTGGGAGCAGCTGAGGGCGCTGGGGCTGTGCATCAGGGAAGTCAGTGCAGACGGCAACTGCTTTTTTCAGGTGGCTCATTTTAGGGTTTAGGATGTCTAATATGTCGACTCATAATTCACCTCGTGTGGGAGCAGCTGAGGGCGCTGGGGCTGTGCATTTGAGAAGTCGGTGCAGATGGAAACTGCTTCTTCAGGTAGCTCCTCCTCCTAACTTCCCTTCATTGCAGCGCTCCTATCATCACCTCAATCACGTTTTTCTTTCCCTCCCGCTTCCCTCTCCCCACCAAGCACCCAGCCGTAGTACCTTTTTTCTTTCAATGTTCAGTCCAGTGTTACGCCTCCCTTTTCTGTACCTCCTCGCTCTCCCCAACGTTGCTTTCTGGTAACCCCAGAGCAGTGTCGGATCGTGTGTTTGGGAACCAGGCCAAGCGCTTGGGGCTCAGGCATGCTCAGGCAACAAGTGGATTTGCCTCTCTTATCTGTTCTCCTATCTCTCTCTCCCCAACGTTGCTCTCGGAACCCCAGAGCAGTGTCGGATCATGTGTTTGGGAACCAGGCCAAGCACGTGGAGTTGAGACAACAGGTGGTGGACTATATTGAGGTAAGGAGTGAGCAATTTTGTGTTTAAGGTCTAGTCGCTCCTGAAGGGGTCTCTAGTCACAAGAAGTGGTGTTTGTAACATCTTTTGAGGCGCCTCAAAAGTCACAAGAAGTGGTGTTTGTAACATCTTTTGAGGCGCCTCAAAAGTCACAAGAAGTGGTGTTTGTAACATCTTTTGAGGCGCCTCAAAAGTCACAAGAAGTGGTGTTTGTAACATCTTTTGAGGCGCCTCAAAAGTCACGAGAAGAGGTGTTTGTAACATCTTTTGAGGCGCCTCAAAAGTCACGAGAAGAGGTGTTTGTAACATCTTTTGAGGCGCCTCAAAAGTCACGAGAAGTGGTGTTTGTAACATCTTTTGAGGCGCCTCAAAAGTCACGAGAAGTGGTGTTTGTAACATCTTTTGAGGCGCCTCAAAAGTCACGAGAAGTGGTGTTTGTAACATCTTTTGAGGCGCCTCAAAAGTCACGAGAAGTGGTGTTTGTAACATCTTTTGAGGCGCCTCAAAAGTCACGAGAAGTGGTGTTTGTAACATCTTTTGAGGCGCCTCAAAAGTCACGAGAAGTGGTGTTTGTAACATCTTTTGAGGCGCCTCAAAAGTCACGAGAAGTGGTGTTTGTAACATCTTTTGAGGCGCCTCAAAAGTCACGAGAAGTGGTGTTTGTAACATCTTTTGAGGCGCCTCAAAAGTCACAAGAAGTGGTGGTTGTAACATCTTTTGAGGCGCCTCAAAAGTCACAAGAAGTGGTGGTTGTAACATCTTTTGAGGCGCCTCAAAAGTCACAAGAAGTGGTGGTTGTAACATCTTTTGAGGCGCCTCAAAAGTCACAAGAAGTGGTGGTTGTAACATCTTTTGAGGCGCCTCAAAAGTCACAAGAAGTGGTGGTTGTAACATCTTTTGAGGCGCCTCAAAAGTCACAAGAAGTGGTGGTTGTAACATCTTTTGAGGCGCCTCAAAAGTCACAAGAAGTGGTGGTTGTAACATCTTTTGAGGCGCCTCAAAAGTCACAAGAAGTGGTGTTTGTAACATCTTTTGAGGCGCCTCAAAAGTCACAAGAAGTGGTGGTTGTAACATCTTTTGAGGCGCCTCAAAAGTCACAAGAAGTGGTGTTTGTAACATCTTTTGAGGCGCCTCAAAAGTCACAAGAAGTGGTGTTTGTAACATCTTTTGAGGCGCCTCAAAAGTCACAAGAAGTGGTGTTTGTAGAATCTTTTGAGGCGCCTCAAAAGTCACAAGAAGTGGTGTTTGTAACATCTTTTGAGGCGCCTCAAAAGTCACAAGAAGTGGTGGTTGTAACATCTTTTGAGGCGCCTCAAAAGTCACAAGAAGTGGTGGTTGTAACATCTTTTGAGGCGCCTCAAAAGTCACAAGAAGTGGTGGTTGTAACATCTTTTGAGGCGCCTCAAAAGTCACGAGAAGTGGTGTTTGTAACATCTTTTGAGGCGCCTCAAAAGTCACGAGAAGTGGTGTTTGTAACATCTTTTGAGGCGCCTCAAAAGTCACGAGAAGTGGTGTTTGTAACATCTTTTGAGGCGCCTCAAAAGTCACAAGAAGTGGTGTTTGTAACATCTTTTGAGGCGCCTCAAAAGTCACAAGAAGTGGTGTTTGTAACATCTTTTGAGGCGCCTCAAAAGTCACAAGAAGTGGTGTTTGTAACATCTTTTGAGGCGCCTCAAAAGTCACAAGAAGTGGTGGTTGTAACATCTTTTGAGGCGCCTCAAAAGTCACAAGAAGTGGTGGTTGTAACATCTTTTGAGGCGCCTCAAAAGTCACAAGAAGTGGTGTTTGTAACATCTTTTGAGGCGCCTCAAAAGTCACAAGAAGTGGTGTTTGTAACATCTTTTGAGGCGCCTCAAAAGTCACAAGAAGTGGTGTTTGTAACATCTTTTGAGGCGCCTCAAAAGTCACAAGAAGTGGTGTTTGTAACATCTTTTGAGGCGCCTCAAAAGTCACAAGAAGTGGTGTTTGTAACATCTTTTGAGGCGCCTCAAAAGTCACAAGAAGTGGTGTTTGTAACATCTTTTGAGGCGCCTCAAAAGTCACAAGAAGTGGTGTTTGTAACATCTTTTGAGGCGCCTCAAAAGTCACAAGAAGTGGTGTTTGTAACATCTTTTGAGGCGCCTCAAAAGTCACGAGAAGTGGTGTTTGTAACATCTTTTGAGGCGCCTCAAAAGTCACAAGAAGTGGTGTTTGTAACATCTTTTGAGGCGCCTCAAAAGTCACAAGAAGTGGTGGTTGTAACATCTTTTGAGGCGCCTCAAAAGTCACAAGAAGTGGTGGTTGTAACATCTTTTGAGGCGCCTCAAAAGTCACAAGAAGTGGTGGTTGTAACATCTTTTGAGGCGCCTCAAAAGTCACAAGAAGTGGTGGTTGTAACATCTTTTGAGGCGCCTCAAAAGTCACAAGAAGTGGTGGTTGTAACATCTTTTGAGGCGCCTCAAAAGTCACAAGAAGTGGTGGTTGTAACATCTTTTGAGGCGCCTCAAAAGTCACAAGAAGTGGTGGTTGTAACATCTTTTGAGGCGCCTCAAAAGTCACGAGAAGAGGTGTTTGTAACATCTTTTGAGGCGCCTCAAAAGTCACGAGAAGAGGTGTTTGTAACATCTTTTGAGGCGCCTCAAAAGTCACGAGAAGTGGTGTTTGTAACATCTTTTGAGGCGCCTCAAAAGTCACGAGAAGTGGTGTTTGTAACATCTTTTGAGGCGCCTCAAAAGTCACAAGAAGTGGTGTTTGTAACATCTTTTGAGGCGCCTCAAAAGTCACAAGAAGTGGTGTTTGTAACATCTTTTGAGGC